AAAAAGAGCAGTGACGATCCTGCCCCAGCAGAGGCAATGACGCCCGAACTGGCAGAAGCACGGAAGTAATCATTCCCGACCTGACAGAAGTCTAGGAGTGAATGCGCGAGGTGGTTATAAAAGGCTCTCCACTCCCCCAAAGAGGAGGTATGCAAAAACTTTGCACTATCTGGTTTTATTTGCCTTTGAAGAATTCTAACTTGAGCTTCGAAGCCTTTACACATGGTTCCCCCCAGAGCTTCCTCATCTCCCCCATTTCAGGTTCCCTGCTACCGAGTTCAGAGGCAAGGTCGTTGACAGCTAAGACCGGCCGGATTGCGCATCATCAGAAATCATAGCATCTATATCTGTCTAAATCAAGTGGATTCACAGTAGATATGAACTCAAAGGCAGATGCCTAAGGTAGATATAGCCAGAGCCTCAGAGCTCTATACCACTTAATTGGTCCTTTCTGGTGGTTGGCTGGGGTTGTATTCCTGTACTTGGATAAAGTCACGGAGACATAAGTTGTTTGATTTCTATCTAATCAAAGAAAAAAGACTTCAAAACTCACTTAACGGGTTATCAACACTTTCAGCAAGCCAAGGCTTCCAAATTTCATGTAGACTACTATAGTTTTCTGAGCATACATCCCCAATAAATATCAAATAAAAGATTATCAAAAAACACTTAACCTGCAATTAAATTACAGATTCAAGTACTTGTTACCAAAATGATTCTACTTTATTTCTTCCCCGGGAAAGAAAACTAGCATCGCCACTCGCATTTCACATAAACTGGAAATTTGAATAGCCTAACTGCTAAACTATATTAAAAAAATTGTCAAGCATGCATTGATATATTCTATGAATTATAACATCTGAGTCACTTACAGGATAAAAAACGAAAAATAGAACATACACAACTTCCAACTCATTTTTACAAAACCCAAAACTGTTTTAAAACAAGAACATGGAGGGAAAAAAATTAAAGAGGGAAGGATCAAGAATACCTTGGAGTAGGGCATAATGTGATCGTAATCGTGACAGAGACAACCTGGGCAACCAACGAGCTTCCGAAACACGATGTTGCCGAGCGCGTCGCGTCTCCACCGATCCGGGTCTCGTCCTTTGATCTTCTCTGCCTTCTCCCAGCACTGCTGCTTTACACTGTAAGGAAAGCTCCTAGGGTTGGCGTCGTCGGGCGAGATATGGAGTCCTTCAAATCCCACAATATCTTCTTCGATAATCAACTCACGATCGACAAGAGATGCAGTCCGAGACACTCTAGGCGAGCGAGACCCTGACGACCTTGGCTCGAGCCCAACCGAATCGACGGTCCGACTTCTGGTGGCAGATGAAGTGGTTCTCCTCCCCTCCTTTCTAGGCTTCATCTTCTTTGCTGTCACGGGATAACAGTCACTAGGAAATCAGACTAAAATGGTAAAATTGGTTGGAAGGATTCAAAAACATTTATACCCAAAAGTTCGGTATTACACAGTATCGTATCGGTCTATCGACTATCGGACAATTTATTATTTATATACGGATAGGATGCGTTTTAGAAACAAATGAATAAAAAATTTGAATATATTATGAAAACACATGAAAATTTCATAAATACATTAATAATATTAAATCTATATATATTTAATTGTATACATAAAAATATATTATAATTAATAATAGAATGCACTGATATCATACAATGTATTAATTAAGAGTCCAAGATAGACTTATTATATTTATCCTATTATTATATCAATTTTTTTATTTTATTATTTTTACATTTTAACATTAACAAAAAAATTAACCAAATATTAAATTTTCAAATATAAATTAAACTATCATTTAATAATTTATAAATATATACAATTTTAAATTAAAATATATAAAATTGGTTAAATTTTCTAAGATATATATCATATACAAATTCATAATTTTAATTATTAAAATAATTATTTCATTACTAAAATTTTTATTTGTATATTTTTTGAAATTAAAAATCAATTTTTCATATTGATGAATCAATTTTTTGGTGATGTATCAATTTTTTGTGCTAAGTACCTCGTCATTTGGTCTGCTTCCAAGTGGTCGATGACTCAGAGGGCGAAGTGAACTTTTGCTGGATGAGGAACTGTATGCCGAGCTGGGGGCATATTAGGTGCCGAGTTAACTGGGCCAAGCTGGGCAGGTTAGGTGCCGAACTGACTGGGCCGAGCTAGGTAGGTTAGGTGACGAGCTGACTGGGCTGAGCTAGGCAAGTTAGGTGACGAGCTTACCAGAGTGCCGAGCTGCCTATTAGGTGCCGAGCTGCCTATTAGTTGCCGAGCTGACTAGAGGGCCAAGCTGCCTAGTGGCGAGCTGGATTGATTGTTGTAGTTATTTAGAGACCTGCAAGGAATCAATGTCAAAAGACCCGGGGTGGCTAACCCGGTGAGGTCGCTCCGATGCTTAAGTCAGTACTCTCATAGTAGAGTGCGAGCTAAAAATCACAAAGTATGAGAGCTAGAATATGCTTACTTGCCCCTTATGCCATTGGGGTTGGTGCCTTTATATAGGCATTGTTTGGCATGGGCTTCACGCACCGCATCCGAGATTTCCGAGAAGTCGTCTAAGTGGTCCAAGATTCCCTAAGGCAACCGCCATGCATGCTGACCACCCTCCAGATCGTTCGGCACGTGGGCCAACTTTTAAGGATCGTGGGAGTGTTAGGATATGCATGTCGAATTTATCGACGAGCACGCCTCGCGGGTCGCCAAGTCGGCGCTTGGGCCAGGCCGCTAGGTCGGCGCCTGGGCCAAGCCGCTAGGTGGGACACCATCAACTTAGCTAAGGAAAGTTGTTGCCTAAGTGGTTCTGGGTGTCACCTAGTTGTTCCGAGGTGCCATGTGTCACAATATCATTGGAGGGCCAAATCTGCCCTTTCATTTGCCCCCCACTCCTGAGCTGAAAGTAACTCGGCGAAGGGAGTAGATGGCTCCTTTTGGCCTGAAATGACTAATTTGATGAGCTCGTAAGCGTCGATTCAATTCCATAGGCTCTGGAAGCGACTCGCAGTCCACTCTCCTTACCCTTGATTTTGCCCATGCTGAAGAAGCGACTGGGTCTTATGTGGTGCCGAAGTCTTTGCCAGTTTGGCATTTTAGCCCTTAGGCTCTGGGAGCGACTCGTAGTTTACTCTCCTTGATCTTTGATTTTGCCCATGCCGAAGAGGCGACTGGGTCTTATGTGGTGCCGGCGTCTTTTATCAGCTCAGCACCTTAGAGCTACAGCTGCGCTGCATCAGCCACGTTAGTGACGTCGGTTACCCACTCCTGCAAGAAGCTACTAGGAGCTCGACCTACGGGGGCAACACTACTGACTTTAGGTCACCAGCTCGCATGGGAGCCTTGGAAGGCTCGACCGGCAAGGGCGTCCATGCAATCTATTGGCCGCCTAATCCCGCAAAAGCCACGAAGAACTCATCTTTGTAGAGGGTACCTCGCGAAGAGGACTGATGAGGCTTTATCTGAGTTGAAATAAAGTTGGTAGAGCTGCTTAGTCTGTTGGCCATCAACTTCCTGCATAGTCTTTGAGTTCATAAAAAATTGAAACTAGAAAGTGTGAGCTTTTAGTTTCTAAAAGGTGAGAACTTAGCTTTCTAGAAGAAGAGGACTTAGCCTTTTGGAGGATTAAAACTTAGCTTTTTGTAGTGTTTCCCACAGACGGTGCCAACTGATGAATCAATTTTTTGTGCTAAGTACCTCGTCATTTGGTCTGCTTCCAAGTGGTCGATGACTCAAAGGCCGAAGTGAACTTTTGTTGGATGAGGACCTGGATGCCGAGCTAACCAGGTCGAGCTAGGGGCAGATTAGGTGCCGAGTTAACCGGGCTGAGCTGGGCAGGTTAGGTGCCGAACTGAATGGGCCAAGCTAGGCAGGTTAGGTGACAAGTTGGCTGGGCCGAGCTAGGCAAGTTAGGTGACGAGCTGACCAGAGTGTGGAACTGCCTATTAGGTGTCGAGTTGCCTATTAGTTGCCAAGCTGACCAGAGGGCCGAGCTGAATTGATTGTTGAGCTTTGTAGTTCTTTAGAGACCTGCAAGGAATCAATGTCAGAGGACTCGGGGTAGCTAACCCAGTGAGGTCGCTCTGATGCTTAAGTCAGTACTCTCATAGTAGACTACAAGCTAGAAATCACAAAGTATGAGAGCTAGAACATCCTTACTTGCCCCTTATGCCATTGGGGTTGGGGCCTTTATATAGGCATTGTTTGGCATGGGCTTCACGCACCGCAACCGAGATTTCTGAGAAGTCGTTTAAGTGGTCCGAGATTCCCTGAGACAACCGCCATGCACGCTGACCACCCTCTGGATCGTTCGGCACGTGGGCCAACTTTCAAGGATCGTGGGAGTGTTAGGATATGCATGCTGAATTTGTCGGCAAGCACGTCTCGCAGGTCGCCAGGTCGGCGCCTGTGCCAGGCCGCCAGGTGGGACACCATCAACTTGGCTAAGGCAAGTTGTTGCCTAAGTGGTTCCGGGTGTCACCTAGTTGTTCCGAGGTGCCATGTGTCACAATATCATTGGAGGGCCAAATCCGCCCTCATCACATATAAATGTAAATTAGTGGATTTGATAAATTCAATTTAATATTATATTCTTGGATATTTTGCAAACAAATTTTTATTTTTTTTTGTAAATAATAAATATGCTGTCATTTAATGTAAATTAAAATATTAATTAATAATTATAAAAATATATAAAATTTGTAAAGTATATCATGTGCAAATTTATAAATTTTAAGTAGTAAGGTAATTATTCTAATATTAATATTTTATTTGTATAAATTTATTGAGATTAAAATCATCTTTTGATGTAAATATATTTTTTGGGTACTCCTTTTGATGTAAATATAGAATTGATTGATTATTTATTCCATTTGTTTATAAATACTAATTTTAAATATTATTTATTTTAATTTTAATTGGGGTTGTTAAACATAAATATTGATTATTTATTTGGATAGACATTAATATAAAATTGTTATTTCGTTAAATATCACAATGCATGGTATGGCCAAGTGGTTTGATGGAGTGTTTAAGGCTTTTAGCACCACGCGTGCAGTTTTTCGGGTGAAATCGGATCTGCTCCTCACACCTGGTGCCTCACACGCACATCCTACCATGTGAGGAGCATATCCCATCTCTTTTCAGGTTCAAATCACGCTATTAGCAATGTTTCCATTTTTAATTGAAGACGTAATGTATCCTATATCGCCCTAATCCAATACCGATATGAAACACCCCGGATGTATCGCATTGATATTTAAATCATTATTGATACTTTTAGGGGTGGTGTCAAGTTAGTATCCGAACTTCAAATCGTGCCATTGTATCTAAACTTTCAAAAAATTGTCAATTAAATCCCTAAATGTAATGATATAGGGAAAATCTATGGTGCGGAAAAGATATGATATGGGAAGTGTTTTGACCAATCAAAACCCACCCATGAATTTTGATAAATAATACCTGATTGGCTATCACATTTATGATTCCAGTTGATTGGTCTGAAGTTTTTTAGATATCATATATTTTCCATGTCATAGTCGAACCCATATAGGGAATATATGTATGATTTAAAATTTTTAAAAATATTAAAACTATCCTTCAAAAGAAAACACCGTTAATCGTCTACCTTCAAAAGTATATCATATGTCTCACAAAGGGTGTCTAAAACACCAGAAAAAAAAATACAACCAAAGGGCGTTTGAAATACCAAAAAAGTAATAATATGCATCTGGGTGTGGTAGAAAACAATTCAAGACCAATAAGCACTTATTCAATTTTTTTTCCAAAATTATTCCTAGTTGAATTTTAAAATACTACTTATAAAGTTATCCCTAGTTGAATTTTATAAAAATACTTTTATAAAAGTGCTTTTGTAAAAGTGCTTTCATAAAAGTACTTTTATAAAAGTATTTTCGTAAAAGTGCTTTCATAAAAGTGTTTTCGTAAAAGTATTTTCATAAAAGTACTTTCATAAAAATATTTTTATAAAAGTACTTTCATAAAAATGTTTTTATAAAAGTAATTTAATAAAAGTGCTTTAAAGGGTATATTTTGAAAATTGAAAGAAAATGAAGGACAAAATAGTCACAAATGCTTATTTAAGTGCTTATTAGAGAAAAGGACTATCAAAAGCCCAATATAAAATAAATGCTTATTTTAAAAAATAAGCACTTGAAAAAGTTGGGTGCCAAATACAAATAAGTATTTATTTGAATAAGCACTTATTTTTAACTTAAACACTCTCAAACATGGCCTTGGAGCTCTTTCAACCTAGCTAGTGATGCAAGTTAAACTGTTTTTAAGTTCTTTTCGGATTCAGCTTTTAAATCTCAATTTTGTTAGAGATTGAAGTACCTCTTTTCATATTCAACTTTGAACATCAGATTCCT